CCCCCCCCCCCCCCCCTACCAGATCATGCTGGATCCATCCCTGTGTTGAAAACTGTATTTTCTTCATAGTCAGGCATTCACATGAATGAAGATTAGAATTGCATCGTGTCATATAGTCTTAAATATTTAGGAGAGTCTCCATTATTAAATTAAGAGATTAAGAAGGGAGTCCATGGCATTTTGACACAAGAATCTCCCACCCCAACCTAGGGTATAATGAATGGTCACTTAAAGTACATGCCATCTTCTAACTGGTTGGGCACCTTGCCCCTTTTGTGATGGAAAATCTATTCCCTACCTTTATCCCCTGGGACAAAAAATTCAAATCAACTCTCCATCCTGGTAATGTGCAGATGGTAACAGCAAGAATTGAAGCAAGCAAGCTTTACTGGAGTACATACTATTATTAGGAAGCATCAAGTCGCACATGCTAATTTGCCAGTCATGATTTTAAACGTAATATTTCTTATATCGTATAGAATTCTTAAGGTCTTGTTTACATTTTACTGGAAGCAAACTAAGATGCATATCCAATATTTGGGTCATATCACTCATATGACAGTTTTTCAGCTTGCCAGCTTCAACAACATTTGGCTGCGAGGAAAAAGTAAACAAGGAAAGAGCATATAACACTTCATCTGTGTTTAAAATATCAATGAATCAATATTCCAACCATTGGCACTTTATAATATAAGTGACATTCAACAATAGATCAATAACATATACAGTATATGCAAAAACATTTCTTTGAATCACTGTATAAAATATTCCTCATAAACTCGCTCCAATCGTCGTACAGCTAGGAGAGTCTTTGGAATAGGCCGTTTGTCGTGGCCCAATATCTTTCACTTTCATTTACCGTGCCTCGTAACTCAAATACTTTTACATAACTTACCACTTTTAAACATGCTGAATCTGAATCCGAAGAGTTCCCGCTCCGTAGACCCGCAGTATTTTTGTAAAATTCATGTTTATTTGCACTCCTTTGACGAAATTCCAACAATCGCCCGCCATTTTGTATATTATTCCTCGATGCTTCGAATTAAATTGCATCGCTCAAATGTGTGTTTACTCCGTTCCAGTCTATTCAATTTGCGGCCGCGTTGTCATTTAGAACGATGGCAAGGTATTTTTACGGGTGTTAATAAATTCGAAAAAAAAATCCAAAATGGAAAGTACTTCCAGTGCTGGTAGTGATGATTCTCATCGAGTATGTGTCATTCATTTCGAGGGTAAAGACGGAGAGCTTAGAGAATTAACAAGTGAAACCGTGAATAGAATTTTGGAAAGAAGAAAGGAGTGGTTAAGTCTGCCATCCTCGTATAAAGCCTTTACTGAAGTCCCCAAAAAGTCGTTCGAGTTTATTCATGAAACTGACGATTTAAACCCGGAAAATATTGCGAAAACATATTGCTTTCATCCTGCCTGTTATCGAAGTTTTACAGACAAAAGTAAACTTGATAGAGCCAAAACTACGTTGACTAATGCTGCCGATCGCAAGCGAGTGGCCGACGACAATACTCAGACCAACTGTCCAAGACCAGAAAAAGTGACCCGAACTACTCGTCAATCTTTTCCTGCTCGATCATCAAATGTTTTGCCCGAGATTTGTCTAATATGTAAACGGCATGGGCCGATCTACATCACAGACAAGGTATATAGAGTTTTGCTTTATCTTTTTATGTGTTTTTGTAATATTAATTTATTTACTCCAAAGTATTTTAATGTCTCTATAAAAACATAGTACAGTATGGTTATCAGGCACGGCCACAGGATTTGAGGGGCTGACCTGAACTTGCCCTAACCCCTAATTTTTTTTCAGACACCATATACTTTTTGTATATAGATCTGATACTGGGGGTTGTATCGAGTTTCTGTTATTTTCTCATATCCCCGCCAACAAAATTCTGATCAGAAACAAATACTCATATTTGCAGGCAACGAAAAAACGTGTTAAACACGAGTTATCATTGGCTCAAACCGTGACGGCCGGAAGATTAGAGAAGGCGGCATTGTTAAGGAACGATGAAAGCATTCTCATTCATATCCGTGGGAGAGACTATGTTGCTATTGAAGGCAGGTACCACAAACGATGTTACCAGACGTACACGACATGCCTTTTAAGAGAAAGGAAGATCATTGGTCCAACCTTGTATGACAAAGCATTTGATAAGTTTTGTTTAGAAATAATCGAGAAGAGAATCATCAAGAATAAAGAAGTTCTATTACTTGGCAATTTGTTAAAGAGATTTACCTCCTGTGTACAAGAAATTGAAATGGTTGATGTACCCTACAAAGCTTCTAGGCTTAGGAAGAGAATTCAAACGCGTTATCCATACCTAGTTTTCCATCGCTGGAAAACTATGAATAAAGGAACTCTGGTCTACGATGATAGCCTGACGGCAGGTGATGTAGCGGATGACATGACGACAATACAGAGTGATTCTGATACCGAAGAAGATGAAGGAGATGATTACGATAATGACGGTGAAAACGACCACAGCAAACTCGGTGAAGATGGTGAACACGATGATAAAGGAACGACACCTCCAATGCCAAACTGTTCACTACAGATATTGTTCACTGTCGCCATGAAATTAGAAAGCTTCTGAATGAATGTAAAGGAGTAGATTCTGATTGGCCGCCGACTCTCATGACCTGACTTTAGCGTTAGCAACAGCATCAATTCCAGTAAAGCTTCACAATTTTTTAGCGTGGTGTCTGGGGTTCTCGTGCGAACCGGTTGAAAACGAAACGGTAGCAATCAGTCCAATCGAGAGAACGAAAGTGGTATCAATAGCACAAGACCTGGTATATGCGGAATCAAAAGGAAGGAAACTAACCCACAAGTCATTGGCCCTTGGAATGGCAGTTCGACAGATAACCGGGTCAATTCGACTACTCAAAATCCTACACGGTTTAGAACATACCACATCAACATCCACCGTCTACAAACACGACACTGGGCTAGCTTTAGCCAGTAGCAAGGGACAGGAAATCATAATACCACGGAATATCAACCCGGGAGTGTTTGCCACTCTCGTTTGGGACAACAATGATTTCAATGAAGAAACTGTTTCGGGTAAAGGAACTACGCACGTTGCAAATGGAATTATTTTGCAGAATGGAGACGTCAGATTGGGGGATAACACGGGATGAAAAATTGGATTTGCATATGTGCAAATGTATGTGCAAATTTGAAGCGATTTCTAAAATCGCACATCTTTGACCACATTTGCACATATGCAAAGTTATAAATTGGCGTCGACTTTGCACCATGTGCCGGATTGCAAATACCGCGATGCCACGTATTGCAAATTTGATGCAAAGATGGTGTCGTTTTTTATATTTGCAGGTAATGCGAATTTGTGGCGAATTTTGGGCGAATATAGAAAATCGCAAAATAATCGCATATGATGCCATTATTGGTTCATTTTATTATTTGCAGTAAATGCGAATTTGCTGCCAAATTCTTGCCAATTTGACATATGCATATTCGTTTGCCATATATATTTTTATCGATATTTGCAAATTTAGTGAAATTAATTACGTACTTTTGAATAGGCCAGTAATTTTAAATACTGGGTACATATATCTCGATATCGTCACAGGTATAACTTCCAGGTGTTATTTTGCTACGATCGCGACCATGCATAGATTGGTTGTTTCCTGGACCACTTGAGTACAAATTAATATAAGATACAATACATTCTAGGTTTCGAGTAATCTATATGGGCATCCCCGAAACGCAGAATTAGTAAAAGTTAAAATGGAGCCTCCTCTGTACTTCATTTGATCAAAAATAAACAAAGTGAATGTTTTATATTATTCATATTTATTGAATATATAGTTACAATGGTATCTTCATTCAATCCGTAAGTCAATATTGTCATCAATTCATTATAATGAATATTAAACTATCATTGTAGTTGTGGCCTTTGTGACCTTAACTTAGGCATGTTGGCCACATTAAAGTACAAATATCATGCATGCATCAATATGTAACGGACAAAGTTCAACAATATGTAACATGAGCAAAAGTTTTCTTTAGGCATACCTAAAAGAGAAGGAAAGAGAAAAATATTAAAACAAATGAAATGTTTAATAGATTAATTTAAATCTGAAGCTAGTTAAAATGGCAGGTCAAACGCGCGTCAATGCTGAGACAATCGCTAGTAGTACCCGGGTCAGCTGTTATTGGATGTCGCACGACAGTCCACACTAATTAACTCGCTACTCCCTCGATCACTTGCTGTAGTCGAATAGATGTTGGGCCAATAGCGAAGTCCATTACCCACTTTGCGAATTAGCTCTTACTAAGAATAGTTAAATCCGTTTTCATGCGCCGAAATTAATATTAACCGTTTCCATATTGCGTCAGCCCTGGGAACCTGTAAATCATTCATAAGAATTATGAAGCATTGACGCAATTATCGAGTAGGTGCATTTAGTACGAATTACTGTGACGAAAAAGCAACTTAATGACACAATGGACCATTTGCATTATAGACTAAAGTTTGATCTATACAAAAATTTTATCACAGCTTGAAAGAGCATCACAAAATTAGTAATATTCCGAAGTTTCGTTGCGAAATGTTGTAAAATGCGGATA